TGTTTCATGAGGGGTACCTCAATCATCAGGTGCTAGGCTCTGAGTGAAGGAATAATGAAGTACGGTATATAGATTGTGACAGTTTATCACAACAAAAGTATGTTAATTACCAAGTGATTAAGTCTCTATTGTTCAGATGGATAAAAGAAAGCCTACAGGATTAAGTAGTATATCTTAACAAGAACTTGTGTCTATGTCTTACATGAACTGAATAATTCGTTCCTTTGATTTAGAGTACAAATTTCGGGTTGACATATAATAAAATACTTCTCTTGTATACAAAGGTTGCATCGATAGTCTATCCATCAATATCGGAATACCTATTAGCCAAAGCCTTCAACTTCGCTGAGAGATTCATACAGATAACCCAGGAAGAAAAAGATAAAATCTTTAAAGCTAAGTCTACACTTCTATTCAACGATAGTTCAGTTTGGTGCAAGCGTAACACCCAGTCCATGTTCGACGTCACAATGGGTATCTACGATGGAGCAGAGATAATATACGCCATTCTGTCCAAACTTTAGGGAGATGGAATTGTTGTGTGGACCCGAGGTTGTGTTTATGGATTGGGGCAGTTGATAAAAGTGAGTTAAGTCTGTTGTGATTGGTCTTTTATTTTCTGGATGTATTGTTTGCATATTTGGGCCAGTGCTCTATCATAGCTTGTATCAGGGAAAATGATTCGAAGCGCTCTGCGCTGGATACCTCCGTTGAGGACACCACATTGTATACTTTGACACCGTGTTGCCAGTTAGTTAAAGAAAGATTTAACCCAAAGGACTAAGTGTTCATCAATCTCATAGGTAAAACCCTTAATTCTTGAATAGAATCTGTGGCTGAAAAGCACTCATTAAGGAATAATATAAGTGCATCCACTGTTGAAACTCCTTCCATAGATCCGAATTGATTGAGATGGATTTTACCTTTGGTTTGACCCTATATCTTTTCACCAATTAGACTTTCAACAACCTTTGCCGTGACAGGTGTCAATGCAATTGGGCAGAGGTCACTCTCAATATTTTTAGCGGGAGATACTTTAGGGATGGGGACCAGGTCGGCGCATTTCCACATCTGTGGAACATAACCCTCCCTCAGACTAGTATTGGCAATATCACAGAATGGTCCACTTCAATAATCGGCACTCTCTTTTAAAATCCATGGTGGGATCCCACCTGGTCCAGGGGCTTGTTGGACTTGACCCGTAAAAGCTTCTACTTAACAGATTCCTGTTTAATAATAAGATAGTTTGGGACTTACTGGACTCTAGTCCCCTCTTCATAGGGCCCTAGTGGTTGAAAGGAATTCGTTATAGACCCAAAAAGGTATTAATTGATTCAGCTAATTCCTCCTTATTGCCCTTACAGACAGAGTTTGCCAACCCCGTAAGTGGATTATTGCTATTAGCAAGATTGATAAATCTCTAAATATTTCGCCACCAGGATCTGGTGTCGGACTCCAAGAGGTGGGCAAAATTCCTTTGATAAAACTGGGAATTTGGAGAGGCGATAAACCTCATTTCTAAGTCTACAAAATTCAATGTTATCATCAAAACTTAAGGCTTTTTGGCGTTATGAATTAATACCTTAAAGGTGTTAGTAACCCATGGTTTGTAAATTTTATATTGTTTAACAATATTAAGAAATTGAAGCATTCTAGAACTGTCCTTGAGGTAGTAAAGATCTTGCCACCGGGTGTTATACAAATCCTCAGCAAATCTGGCCTTTAAAGATGTGTCAAATACTTGCATACGTCGAATATCATAAGAGTATTTTTTAACTCCGGTCAACAATAGTGGTTCACAAATTATAACATTATGGGCCGATAGCCTCAAAGGAGCCTCTGAGACTGGAGACATGTAGAATTCGTCCATTGATGTATAAAAAAGATCAAGAATTGCTCCGTGTCTCGTAGGTGTATTCACCAATTTTTTCAATGGGAAACTTTTAAGTTGTTGATCCTTCATGCGATTGAAGTCACCAGTGACTACGATACCTGTATCCGGATGTTTAGAACAAATAATGTCAAGACAGCGATTATGAGAGCTCATTAGAAAATCATTTGATCCTGGAGGATGATAGATCAAGCCAACTGTTATGTTAGCAATTTTCCGAGGTAGATAATTTGGCCGCATGCTTTTATCCACATGCTTTCAAAATCATCGTCCTCGAGCTCATACCAAACCTTGTACTGGATACTATCCTTCACATATAAAATGATCCCCCTCCCCTTCCATTCCCTTCAAGCCTATCTGCCCTGACGAATGAGTATCCGTTTAATTTAACCACGTTATCAGGTATGTGAGGTTTCAAATGGGTCTCGGTGATAGCAACAATATCTGGTGAGGCCAGTCCAACCCAACCCTGACTGAGAGTTCATCTACCTTATTCGGCAAAGACAGTGCATTGGAAAAAAGAAACTTTGGGAAATTCCAACGAACGGCAGCTGGTATACTCACAAGGTTGTTCTTATTACATCTACGGCTAGGCGTGTGTCTGTGACTTCTTTTTATTCCGAATGCTGGAATTTGACTTTGTTTATGTCTTCCACCACGACAGCCCCTTGGTTTGGTTGATGAAATTCCAAGTTTGTTTAATACGTCAAAAACTTCTTTCGAGGGTTTATGTCCACAGGACCTGAGTCCTCTACATATATACGATGTTTGATTGAGTGGTTGATCGTCAATAAGATTGAGTGGTATTCACAATTGAGATAGAAAGCCAGCGGGAACTATGTACGTAAATTAGCAATAACGCTGCTTCGTGAAGGCCTGGAAGTGAATTCCGTGCGTGAAGCAAGCAGGTCCGTCTATCTTCCGCGGGAAAATAGTTCAGTCAGCAAGGTACGCTACGGTAAAGTGAAATATGGAACGTCGGATTCATACATCAAAATCGAAACAATCACAATTACAAACAGTCACCAAACTTTACCAGACATCAGAAAAGTAGAAAAAACGTGACAATCACCAAACGGGAAAATAGAAGAGTAAAATAACAGTATGTATTGGGGAAACACACTTCCCGGTTACTGCAGCTACGGGCGCCACCAATCGATTATTCCGAACAAATTAGCACCAAACTTACTACCTACCGCCAGTGGTTGTGGAGATAATAAGGACTCAATAACTATGACATTTGAAACATATCAAAGCTCAAAAACAGCATTTCAGGTCATTTTCTAACAAACTTTTTTATTAGACCATATAGAAACATTAATGTTCCGAACATATTTACACCACAATTAACTCTTTACCACCAGTGGTTGGGGAGATATAATGACCCTATTGCTTTGACCTTGAAACGTGTCAAAGGGTAAAAACGGCATTTTCAGTCATTTTTTAGCAAAATGTTCTATTAGACCAAATAGAAACTTGAATGTTCTGAACAAATCGGAACCAAAATTAACTCTCTGGTTGCGGAGATAAGACGACCCTGTAGCTATGACATTTGACCTTTAACTTTTGACCTTTCGCCACAGTTTGAAAATGTGTTACTAAGCCAAAGTCAAATTCTCTGGACCTCGAAGCGCATACAAAACCTGGTCTAGTACTATGTACAGCATGGTCTTTCAAAGCATAAATAACACAGTAATATTGAATCTGGCTATTTGAGTAGGTCTACAGTATAGTATCCTATTATGACATGTATTGTAGTAAGTGTATGCCCCCTATATGTATATGTGCATGTATATGTATATATGTATATATATATATATAAAACAAAAAACTCCGGTTATCGACCTTTGTCAAGCTGAGCTTGACAAAGGTTGATAACCGAAAACGTTTGCTCACTATTAAATAAATATATACATATATATATATATATATATTTGGTTCTGATTTTAGTGGTTATGTAATAATACAGAGATGCAAGTTTAAACGTACTGTGATCTACCACAGAAACAGTCAAATATCATAGACTAGAAAGGCAGTCATATTAAATCTTTTTTGCATTTGTTGGTAACCAATCGTATTCTTCCAATTTTGTCTAATTTTTTAAATATCGAATATTCCTCGCTCATATTGTGAATTTTTTTGTTCCAAAATCCGTTATCAAAGTAGTGGTATTGGAGTGGTTCTCCATTTGTTCCTTCCGAAAATGGATAATATCCATACATCGATATTGAGCGACACATTAACAATGCAGCTGTTATACCTCGCAAACCACCAGATGGCTGCTTCGTGATATTCCATGCACTGAAGAAGAAAATACACATAGAATGAGTGAATTTGTAACTTTATGGTTTTGAAAACCCGGCCACGAGCTTGAGAGTCTCAGCCTCAACCGCTGCACCAAAAACTGGTACAAACACAAACAAGCAAACATAATACGTGTTATGTACAATATGTAGGCCTATTGATACTCATTTTTATAATTTGGAGCGCGCGTTAATTATCTTTTTTGCTTGCCCACCACAATTCATTGTAATATAATGCAATACAATTGTGAGATACAATAGACAATACTGTCCAATAGTCGAACGTACACAAATGTGGAGCAAAATATTTTCAAGTTTCAGATGCTTGCCTTTCGATCTATGTTCTGTTGAATCGTCATGAATTGCGTGTCACAAGCACGTCGCAAGGCAGACCAGATTAATCCAAAAAGACCGATCCTGGCGACGGCTATGCCCGTCCGGCAGACAAATTTTAGCGGCCAAAATAGTTTGACTGACCGATTTCAGCTGGTTGGACCTGACCATTCTGGGCGTGATAGGTCTTAACGTCGCAAGCCAGACCAGATTTATCCAAAAAGACCGATCGTGGCTACAGCTATATCCGTCCGGCCGACAATTTTAGCGGCCAAAATAGATTGGCTGACTCATTTTAGCGCCTTGGACCTGACCATTTTGGGCGTGATAGGTCTTAACAATTAATCAGCCCTGAGCTCCATTCTCTAAAACATATAAGGAAACCAGCTTCATTCCATGTTCTAATTCACGAGTTATTTGCTGTTGGCTGGCAAAGAAAGAAAACGAAAACAAGAACACAAAAATACATACGCACCTTTTCAGTCTTAGAGTCGCGTTTTTTGCCGACACTCTGATATCCGGAAGTAAATTATACCTCTTAAGTGACTGTATAAATTGCTTATGTCCTTGAAGCTTCCAATTTGGATTTGGGTCGTGAAATTCATGAAAAAGTAATATTGAATTTTTAATAGGTTTTAATCTCCTGTACGCTGAATCTCGGCATTTTGTATTACGTAAACATTTATCTAAAGCATGGCTAATCGGATAATTTATTGACATAAGATCCGTTCTATTGCCAACGTCTTTTTGAAACCCGTCTATGGTAGCCATATTCAAACGTATTATAAATTCATGAGAAGAGATTTCTTCGCCGCACTGACTACCGTTCAGTATTCCCGAGCTCCCGACGACAGCACACGTGTTGTAAAATTTGTCGACACGTCGATGAAGCCCAGGCGCCTTAATTTTATAAGGAAGCAAAAACGATTTCATGGTGAATCCAAAAGTCTGAAGTTTTTTTCTGGAAGATATAATAATAATAATACCAGATCAATGGATTAAATTGGGAAAGTACAGCCGAAAACATAACTGCTACTAACAACAATGAACAAAGGACAGTACACTGAGCAGACCTAGGACTGGAAACACTAATAATGGTAAGACAAAGTAAAGAGGTTATTTCCGGGAACGTAAGATGACATTTGAGGGTGAAGAAGAAGCTCTTTTCAATAGAGGTCGCCATAAGTATATATTCTGTCTTTACCTTCAGTATATAAAAGCAACAATAACAAAGAAAATATAAAACATAACGGAATAAAGAATAAAGAAATCAAGATTACCGTACCGTGGATGTTTCAACCAAATACACGAAGATTTATAGAGCAAAGAAAGCACCTGCTGGCGCTCGCTGCGCCCGACGTTCGTGCCCGACGCAATAAAATACGCAACGCCACGACGCGCGCGTTACGAATAGTTTGTATCGTTGAGACTGCCACCAAAGATAGAGCACTAGCATCAAAGATCTTATTAAAAGATCTTTGAGTAGCATAGACGTACGCGGCGCCCTGCTTCTATTTCCGCCAGAGCTGTAGATAGAGAGAGTTTGGCCAACTTGGCGCATGGGCGCCATGTTGTCACCAAACAGCGTGCGCGCGTATTGCTTTATAACATTTTATAAAACACTGATGCTGCATAAACTTTCTTTCATTATTCTGTTCATGAGGACAATTCAATTATGGGATTTTAACATATCATTGTAAATATCATATATAATCATATTTACCTAACTTTGGAATTAATTAATCAGTGACGTGCTGTATTATTTCGAGAAGATAAAGTGAGGACGATTCTTTATTTTTTTTCCCGTTACGATTATCTTTTTGTTTTGAAAGTCTATCATCTAGGCCTAGGCCTATCTAGTTTCTAGCAGCCTCCTCTAAGGCTCCTAAGGGTCAACACTGCAGAGGAGGAAGGTTGGTTGTGCAGACAGAGTAGGTTTGTGAATCGTCGGCGATAATATGTTAATTTCGCCTGTAAATGAATGATAAAAATATTAATAACATGAAAGTTTTATAATTGTATCTAGGTCTTTAGGTTAGGCCTATGACTTCGTAAACTTTAATTTATAAAATAATATGCTGGTCATCTGCAAACCAATACAAATAGCCTAGGCCTATTTGTAAATTGCCATCTAGATGTGTATAAGAGACAGCGTATAGCTTTATAACATTTTATAAAACACTGATGCTGCATAAAC